CATCCTGGAGAAAGCTGGCTGAGAGCTGGCTTTACAGCCGCAGACTGTCCTAAAGTGTCAGTTTCATTAGGGTGATTTGAAAGTGCTGCCCCCCTATTTCTGTCACTGTGTGGGTGTGAGGCTAGTGTTGGGGTGGAGAAGGGCATTTGGACTGCTGGGCTGCTGCTGTGGCCCTCAAGGCGGTGCACTCAGCCTGCTGTCCTGCTTGCATCACGAGACTGGAAATGAAAGTGAGAACCCAGGGGCCTTGCCAGCCTGCCTTGCTGATGGGCTCGGCCTCCTTTTTAACCCTCTAGCCCCTGCCTGACTTTTGCCTGTGGGACAGATTCCAGCTCGTGCTTCTGTGCCCTACCCTTGGACCCCAAGTGCAGACATAGGACCCGGATGCTCCTCCATCTCCCCTCTACTAGGTGCTGAGGATGCCTGCATGGGTTTCCTCTGGCCTGGATTGGGGCGGATGAGCTGGCTTCTCCTGGGAAACCCCTGGCTCTCTAGCTCTCCAGATCTGTAAACTCATCTTTAGCCTGGGCCTCCCACTAGGATTTTTTGGCTCCTGCAGCCAAATACTCTTTTTCATTCTGATTTCTGAAAATGCTCATTCTACTCTATCCTGGATGCTTCTGCTCATTCTCAGCCAAGGGGACAGTGATGGTGGCTTTCTCTGCCTCTCCAATAGCAGAACATTCAGTTGAAGGAACCCTTGAGAACACCCATCCCAAACTATTTGATAGTTGAGGAAACTGAGGCCCAGAGAGGGTGGCTGACTAGACCAGGCTCACACAGTAGTGGATGGTGGAGCTGGTATTGGAAGCAGATCTCGACTCCCTACTGGCAGTTCTTATAGCAATGTCTCCTCTATTTTCTTCTCTTAGGGCTGGGGATGTGGCTCAGTTGTACAGTACTTGCCTAGCATACAGTAGTCCCAGGGTTCATACCAGTATCTATTTCCTTCTCTTTCTCTTCCTTTCCTTTTCTCTGGAAACATTTCCTTGAAGATATTCTCTCTGTGTTAAACAGAAGGACTTGTCAGGTGGTTCCAAGGTGAACTTGCTCTGGGAGCACTGTCTTGGTATGGGTTTTCCTAGTCTTTCAAAAGCCTTTCCACCTTCCTGTTTCTCATCTCCTAAGATAGCCTGGGACCTTGTCCTGGCCTATCTCGGAACCATCCTCTTTAGCTCCTGCTTCAAAGTGCCGAGGAGGAGGCATATGGGAACTTAGGAATTGCTCCTCTCTTTCACCTTCGTTTTCTGGCCTCTGAAATGGAGCAAGAGTCTCAGAAGCATAAATATGGGTACCAGTGTGTACATATATAAATGCAGCTCACAGGTCTCCCAGCAGCAGCTGGGCAGAGGGGAAATGCAAATAGCACCAGGGTTAAAGGGTTCTGGGATCATTGCAGGTACTATCAGGATGGCCAGGAGGGTGGCACGAGAGGCTTCTAAAAGTCCTGGGGGTGGGCACCCCTAGCCACACTCCTGCAAGGCAGATCAGACACCTGGAGAGGCTGGGGGGGGAGGGAACATTCTGAGTGAAGGGTCTTTGTCTTTACAGGGAAATGCTTTGTAGTTGCTAAGGAACTGGGTGTCTTTCCTGATCCAAACCTCCGATGTTTTGCTCAGCTTGGGAGGGGGATGCTGGGCTGGGGCCTGAGGCTCCCTTGGCAGTTGGTCCTTTCCCGGGGACTGCCAAGGCTCTAGGGGTCTTGTGGGAAGGCTTTCATCTGGGAGACATGGTTCTTCACCCTCAGCCTCACTGCTCAGCTGAGCTGGGGAGGTGAACAGGTGAGGTGGAGGCAGGGAAGGAGAGGAAAACGCACACTTACTTAACAGCCCGCCTGCCAGGCCCTGTGCTCGGGTCTTCCCTGCTATGTCACTTCACCATTGGGACACTTCCTGGGAGGAAGGCAGTTATTTCAGTTTTTTTCCATTGGATTGTTTTTTGTACTTGAAACACAGGTTCGGAATGGTTAAATAGATTGCCCAAGGTCATGGGCTGTCAAGTGGCAGAAGTTCTATGTAAATTTAGGTCTGTTGTGCTTCCACAACTATACCACCTCATGCATCTGCTAGGGTTTCTTCTCATCCCATGGCTGCTCAGGAGCCATAGTCACCATCATCACCAACACCACCGCCATCGCTGTCACCAGTACCAGCATCACCATTGTCACCACCACCGTCACCATCGCCATCAGCAGTATCACCATTGTCACCATCACTTTCATCACCGTCACCACTGCCAGCATCACCCTGTCACTATCATCACCACCACCAGCTTCACCACCACCAGCTTCACCATTGTCATCATCACTATCATTACCACGATCACCACCATCAACATCACCGTCTTCACCGTCATCACCACAATCACCACAACCACCATCACCACCATCACCATGGACTTCCTAGGTGGCTTTCTGTCCTTTTCGACCTCTCTTTCTTACCTAAGAGCAGATACAACGTAGGGAGGGGGAGAGGGAGCTGGGTGACTCAATGGGTTGAGGGTTGGTAAACTTTGGGGTGGTGCCTTGGGCAGATGGCCTGGGACTGGGCCAGGCTATTGCCTGGTGTATTCAGAAGCCCTCGCCCTCTCCACAAATCCTACTTGGTCCAGGATGCCTAAAGCTTTAAATTCCTCTGGAAGTACCAGTCGTCCCTCTTTGGTCCACTCCAGATCCTGAATGTGAAAACCCTGGCCCTTATTTCATATTGCCCAGATGGTAAAATTAGAGTGCTGTTTACCTCTGAATACTGTGGTGAGAGGGCTTGAGTTAATACCAGATTCCACCACTACTAAATATGCAACAGATTCCTTAACTTAAAGGAATGTTTCCTCATCTCTGAAATGAGAACACCATTATTTACATGATTAGGTTTTTGTGACATCTGAATGAGAGAACCTGTATGAGGTCCCTGGCAGGCTGTGAATCAGAGTGGGAATCCGTTAAACGAGATACCACATATAATAAAGCCTGTGGCACAGTGCCTGGTATGCAGACAGTGCTCAATAAATGGTATCTGACAATGATGATGATGATGTTAATGTCGACTTTCTTTGTCCTTGTCAAGGGGTCACTTCTGTCTTGCTTGGCTGCTTGATTAGAGATCTCAAGGCAATTTACATGTCCCTCTTGTTTCCACCAGGAGGAGGTAGTGAAAAGAAGAGGGGTGAGAGGCCCAAAGAGCTTTGCAGGCAAAAAGCTGAGTCAAGGATGATCCCCCAAGGCCCCCTTGTGGCCTCTGGGTCTCCCCTCTGCCCTGGGTCCTCCTCCTCTGTGATTTCCAGGGATGGCCTGGCAGAGCTGGCTTCAGTCTGAAATCTGGACCAGCTAGCTGTCTTCTTTTTTTTTTTTTTTTACATTTTGGGACTAGAAGGGTGGGGGTCTCTCCGGCAGCTGAACTCAAAGCCCAAAACACCGGGGCAAGAGAAGTGGGGGGAGGAAAGCAAGCAAGCCGATAATTTCCTCGAAGGATAAACATCCGATTTTTTTTCCTTTACCCAAAATAAACATGCTAGCCACAAGGAATTAAAAGCAGAAGACGGGAGGATGTGTCTGGATTTGGGGCTGTTCTAGCAAACTGACCTTCTATTTATTCTGGCCCTGGGCACCCGCCAGAGCTGCCAATTACACTCTACACCTGGTGGGGTGGGGGCTGCCAGGAGAAGGTCCCTAGGAATAGCAGACTCAGAAGGTCCCTTCTGAGTCTGCCTTCATGACAGTGCAAATGGGCACGTCCTCTGGCTTCTTATTTTATCTCTGCCTGCAGGCTTGCCTGGTGGCGCAGAGGGAGTGGGAAAGTCCCTTTTGCCCTGGGCTGTCATCCAGTGCCCTTCTTGAGCACAAGAATTTGCTGTGCATTGCCTGGGCAGGGACTGAATGAATGTGTCAATGGGAGGAGGACATCATTGCCTCCCCAATCACAAACTCGTCTCCCACCCACTGCATTGTCCAGAGCCCACCACAAAAACCATCCAATTAGTTAAAAGTGTGCTCAGCTAGGCTGAGGGTCAGTGAGGGCCCCTGCCTTGCTCTACCTTGGGACATGCTTCACAGAAGGTAATAACCTGGTGTCCAGCTGCAGGCTGCACCTTTCATCTGGGGATCTCAAAGGACTTTGCACACATGAGTCACCAATGCTACTGCATCCTAGCCAGAGAGAGGGGCTTATTAAGTCTTGGAGGGAAACTGAACCAAGGAGGTGGTTAGGCAGAGCCGAAGGACTAGTGGGGAATTGGGATGCCCAGGCTTAGGTTGGAGACAAGCAGAGCGTCATCTCCAGGGGGCTTCTGGGTGGGAAAGCCAATAGGCCTACAGAGGAAGTTCAAGGGAAATAGATGCTGAAAATCCTTTCCCTGGAGATACCGCATGGCTTTGTAAAAGCACACTCTGATTATGTCACCTATACCCTCCAATCTATCATTTGATAATATCCCATTGCTTCTAGGTTTAAATCCAAAGCCTTAATGTGGCTACAGGCCTAGAGTCTCCTGTCCTGTCCCACCATCCAGCCATTCTCTATCTGAGGAACGCCGCCCCCCCCCCCCCCCCCCCACACAGAAAGCTCCCTGAGGGCAGCACCATGTCCTGTGTGACCTGATTACCCACACAGTCCCCTGTCTAGCACAGGATAGATGCTGGTAATACTGGTTGAGGGAATGCTGCTGCATGTCAGAACTAGAGAGGTCCATGGTGACAACCAATTGTCCCCTATTGCTTCTGCCTGTCTCAGTGACATGGCTGGAGGAAGAGTTTTGGGGAGGATGAGTGATTTGCTCAAGGGCACAGTGACTGAGGGACCCATTACCAGTTCAAGCCTAGGGATTTCCACTTCCTGCTTGTCCACCCATCCCCTGCTCCACCCGTTTGTAATTTCTGGAAAACCCCAAACTCCAGGCTGAGTTCCCCTTGTTGGTTTTGAAGGTTTAGGAAACAAAACATCAAGCCCTGTATGATATATATTTTTTTTAATTTTGAAGATAAGGGACCCATACCCAGAGGGGATTCCATCTGTTGGTAGGCAATGTGGACACATGCCTAGAAGTTGAAGCCTTGGTCTAGCAGGCAGTTGTCTCTACTTGGGTTTGTCCTTGAAATACCTGACGCCTCCCCTGAAAGCCTGGATCATTGGTGAGTCATGGGAGTTCTGGGTCATGAACTGGGTACTTGCTTCGGGCTCTCTCAGATGGAAGCGGTTCAGAAAACTTTCCATATTCCAGGAGCCTGGAAGAACAGATAAGCATAGGGAGTCAGTAAGAGGGACCATGCACCTGAGAGCTGGCAGGGATTTGCCAGCTCTGGGGGCATACAACAAGCAGACTCTCCCGGCTGTGGGGCTTTGAGGACAAATTCCTGGGAAGCCTTCTGGCCCCTCGCTGCCAGGGATGCTAGCAGAGCGGTTGAGAAGTAGCAGAGTTAGTTGCCTGATTATCAGAGGACAATGGGGACTAATCCCAGACCAAGTCAAGGCTACCTTGGGACTCCTTTCCCAGGGCCCCTTATTTAGCACACCATGGCTGGGGATGTAGCTCAGTGCAGAGCATTTGTCATGCAGGCAAGAGGCCCTGGGTTCAACCCCCAGCCGGGAAACAACCACCACCACCAATAATATTTAGCACAGGTTGCCTTCTTTGCCTGTACAGAAAGGAAATGCCAATCAGGTGGGCCCATCACCCCTCCACCCACCCCCTCTTCCTGCAGCTTTCCTGACCCCATGACTGAGGCTTCATTGCTTCTTCTCTCCACACCTGGTCACCCCAAGTGCTGGGGCTGAGACTGGCGGGGCTGTCTGTGCTGGTTCTTACAATCTCTCCCCAACCACCCCCTGCAACAGGGCTCGCCCTGTGTGGAGGTGCAGCGATGGCATTTGGATTCTGGGGGGGAAGTGAGTGTGGGAGAAACGTTCCCAGGCTGGGCCTGGAGACACTCAAGCAGCCCAGTTTGAAGGGGGCTCTCTTCAGGGGGAGGCGACACACCAGGGGTCACATCTTCTGGGGCGAGTGTGAACAGGCCTCCTGGCAGGGTAAGGAGGGCACTTCCTGGGGCACCAGCATCAGGGAGAGGTGAGGGAAGTGGTCAGAGGCACATTCCCACGCTCTTGTTTCCCAAAGCCTGAGCCTCAGGCACCCTGGGCAGATGGTTGCCAGAAAAATACAGGAAGCCCAGTTTGGATTTCAGATAAACAACAAATAATTTGTTATGTGTTCCACTTATTACACAGAACATACTTAGATTAAAAACTTTTTCATTGTTTAACCAGATTTCAAATTTAATTGAAATTGAATTGCATCCTGCATTTTTTTTTTCCTTTCTTTTGGGGTCTAAATCTAGCCACCTTCTCTGGATGGAGAGAACACTCAGGAAAGGCCTTGTTCAGAGCAAGTTAGCAAGTGGCAGATTTGCCATGGTTTGGTCAAAACCAATCATCTCCAGACAGAGGAGGGTTAAGGGCTGGCAGCCTGGAATTCTTAAACCCTCACCTGAGAGCCACAGGTCACCAGTGCCACACCTGTTGGCTCCTGTGTGTACTCACTGCTCTTTTTATAACAAGAAGAAAATGAGTCCACCCAAATGTTCCTCTTCTCCATTTACCCTCTCCCTCCAGGTGTTTCAAAGATATTCTCAAGGAGAGGACAATTTTTGATCCCCAACCCCAAACACAATAATAGTAATAAAGCAAATAATAATAATAGCAGCAACAGGACACCTCTGCGGTGCCTTCTGTGTGCCAGGTGCTCTCCCAGGAGCACTATACACATTAAGGATCATATTATGGGGGACTGGGTATATCCCTGGCTCACTGACGGGACGATGGGACCCAGTGCACTACTGGGGAGAAAACTTCTTGGGAGGCAGGGATGAGGTCAAGGTCTTTCCAGGTTCTCTCAATCCCATCTGACTCAGTGACCGTGTACTTGGATTGACCTTGAGAGCTGCAGAATGAGGGCTTGCAGGGGTGTCTCAGGGAAAGGGCAGAGAGAGTCCAGCTTGTTGGATGGGTGCTGACTGCCCTGGTCCACAGTGTGGCTTTGTGTCACTCCAGAGCCCTTTCGGAGGCACTGTGTCTGGTTGGAGCCTCTGCACCACAGGGATCGTGATGGCTGTAGAGGAATTCTGGTCTATGAACCTGGGAAACTTTGGCACGTGTGCATGTGTGTGCACACCAGTGCATGTTTGTGTGTGTTCACGTGCATGCCACGGAAAAGGCTCATGGGTAAATTGATGTGTGGCAAACACAAGGGGACAAGGGGCCTTCCCCATTGAGTGGGACAGGAAGGAACCTGGGTGACAAGGAGGGAATTGAAACCAATCACGAGATCAGGGCAAGATGATGGAAAGAAATCCCCTATACCCTGAGAGAGACCAGGCTCCCCTCACACAGGAGCACAGGCCTGCCTGCTCAGAAGCTGCCTTCTATCTGAGCTCAGAGTTGTCCCTGGTGCCTCAGGATTGTTCCCAGCCCCATTTCCGACAACCCTGTGGTTCTCGGGCTCCTTGGGCAGCTGTGGCACCCAGACCCTGTGCTGGCTAGCCTCGGGCCACTTCCTCCCCTGGCTCACCCAGGACTCCTTAAACACCCCCCACCACTCTGTTTCCTGCCACAGAGGGCGAGAGGAACTGACCCTGAGCAAGTTCTAGAAGGAAGAGGGGTGAGTCAGGCCCTCAGGGGTGTATGGGGAGAGATGGGGAGCTGTGGCTTCTGTGGTCGCAGCTCAGAGGAAAGCCCCTTCCTGTATGGCACTGCTCTGTCCCCGAGCTGCAGGGAAGCTGCTGCCACGCAGGAAGAGGGCTGTGTCTGTGCCAGGGCCACTGAACTTGCAGCCAGGCTGGACTCTACCTGGGACAGGGCAGGGGCGGTGAGTGCACTCCAGAGGCCTCTGGGGGAAGGCAGCCTGCCAGTCTGTCTCTTGAGCTGTACAGTGGCAGCAACACAACGTCCTGGGCTCCTCGGGTCAGGGCTGCCGCATGATGTGTAGGTTGGTCCCTGCAGGACCCATTTCTGCAGAGCCAGCTGCACACCCTGCCTCGAGGCCGTTGCCTTCCCTTGCTGGTCAGTGCCACTGGAGACCTTCTTAGGTGAGGGCTGTTGGATGCTAGAGATGTTTGGGCAGGAGGGGGTTGGGGGACAGCTCATTTAAAGCTTGGGTGTTTCTGAGCCAACATTCTGTGCCTGACCTCCCGTCCGACACCAGGTGGAAGGAAGGACCCCTGTCTCTAGCAGTGGGGGTGGCCTCGTTCTCTGAGTCTCAGTCCTAGGGACAGCCATGGCTGGATGTTTGGAAATGACTCTGGAGGATGTCTTGGCAGTCACTCTTTCTACTTCCAGGTCCTGAATCTGAGGGGCTGGCTCTGCACAATTTGGCTTATCACACGGTCCCCCTAGCTAGCTCCCTTGGGCCTGTGAGGGCCAAATGGGCCTCCAAGAGACTGAGAAGGGGATGTGCCCCCTTGTATTGTCCTGATTCCCCCAGGCTCAGGAGAATGCATAGACAGCTCCTCTGCACATGCTCAGTTGAGGGGACCTGGGATGCAGGGTCCCTTAGCTAACACTGGCAGCCATCCCTGGGCCTCTGTCAGGCAAGTGGGATGAGGTGCTTTACCCAGTCTCACTCCTGCCCTCAGTGACTTTCTAACATAACACAATCCACAGAGGACAAATAAAAAACTAGTCCTTGGTAGGGAGGCCTTGGCCAACAGCTGGGGCCCTTGACAGATGCTCACAAGCCCTTCCATGGGCCAACTCTTAGGCTTTTCACCAGCAAAGGACAGTGCTTCCTGACCCCTGACTTGCCAAGGACATTCCCCACCGGACTTGTCACTTGTCCTTTGAGGGCTCTGAAGTGTTTCCCTGTCAGCCTGGGGACTGGGACTGGGGACTGGGAAGACAAGGGTGGGCTGGAGAACAAGGGGCAGGATTTTGAGCCCTTGAGTTTGGCTTCCTGCTCTGGAGGGACCTGGGCACCTGTCCCAGAGCTGCCCTGTCCCCCTGGGCAGGTGACTCCTGTCTAACCATAGCAGCCTCCCTCTTCCCTGCTCTACTCTCCTACTTGGCAGGGCACTGCTTCTTGTCAGGGGACGGTGGCCCTGAAGAAAACAACAAGAATTCAACTCCAACCTAATAACCGCCCCACACAGGGCCCGGCTCAGGTCTGTAATTTGTCTGGCTCGTCTGGAGCTGGCTGCGGTGATAGAAGCGCTGATGCCTTTCTCCTGAGATTAATGATGTCCTGGTGGTGGTGGGCGGGAGGCCCGAGCCTTTTATTTTTTGTGCCATTAAATGACATCCAGAGACTTTCACTCAGGAGCTGAAAAGCCCTCGTTCCATCACATCCGATTACTCCTGGAGAATATTTGCTGAGTGGCTGATCCTGAGGCTCCAGAGGCCTGAGGAGGTGACATTTGGCCTGTGGTTGGCATGAGAGAGCAGGGAGGCTGGGGCAGTCCCAGGGTGGTGAGGGGCTACCAGGTCTCCTCTGAAGAAGAGAACTTAGGAGAACTGGACAGCGGAAGGATGATTCCTACCTGTCCAGCAGGTAGATCACCCAGGCCTCCCTTCTCCATCTTGAGGCTGAGGGTGAGGACCGGGAAGGGAGACAGAGAAGGAGGCCGGAAAGCTGCTAAGGTAGCTCCCAGTTATCAACTCCAACATTTGGTAGTGGCAAAGGTTGGCTGGGACTTGGGGATTCTCTGTTGTCTCCCCATGATCTGTCTGATGTTCCTTGGGACAGCTGATGCGTGGCTGGGTGGGGGCATACTTCTCCAGGACGTCTGCCTCATGCCCATAGAGATTTCAGGCAGTTTCTAGCCAGGGTGCTTGTCTGAGTGTTGCCCAGATGGCCCCAGCTGGGTGGCTGCCAGGACCCTAGTCCTACCGGCCCTGCTAGGTGGGTGGGGCCCTTCGGAGGCAGAAGAGAGCAGCCTGCCGCAAGCCCACACGGTGATCAGGGGTGGTCCCTGGGGGTCTGGTGCTGGGCCAGGTGAACCACCATGGGAGGTCACGGCGGGTGGGGTGGGCTGTTTTGCAGTGGGCTGGGTGTGTTTGTGTCTGTCTGTGTGTGAGCTGGAGGGGGCCTGTCTGAGGGTGCTCTCCACGCAGGGCACCTTTCCCTCTGGGCCTCTTCCCTCCAAACTTCCCTATACTCTACGTGCCCCTCGCTCCTCAGGTCCCTGGAGTTCCTGCCAGTCAAAAGCTTCCCACTGCTGATGGCTGCTTGGGGCTCTGG